GTGAAATCGCATCATATGACCCCTTTAAGTAGGCATGGCTATTACTAGTGAGTAAAATAATAATTAAAAAAAAATAAAGAAACTGGATATCACATGTACTATTTTGTCAAGTAGAAATGGCTATTTGCGAGTAAAATAATTTAAAAAAAGATCACGTATATTACTTGATAATTAAAGTCTAAACCATGCAAAACTTTCAGTTATTGTAATGATGGAATTTAATTATTTTACTGAATAGTTTCCATGTTGCCATTTCTAATTTCCACGAATAATAAGCAGTTTTGTTTTTATAAGCAGAAGTATCAGAAATAGCCAGTAGCCTCGGAATCCCCCATTACTTCAGGGTCCTTTAAATCACAATCTGATTTCCAAATGCTTAAAATCTAACACTCCAGATAAGCCAAAGATGAACGATCCAAAAACTATGATAATATCAGTGTGCAACAGAAACGAATACAACGCCAAATGCAAATATCAGTGCTTTACTCTGATTCCTGCACCATTCTGACGGGAAGAAGGCTGTCGTGGGGGATGCTCTGTGCATCTGCATGCTACAGACACAGACGCAGATCTCACGCAAATGATCCGAGTGCGTGAATGCACGGACAGCACGAGGTCACGTGCCAGTCTCGCGGCTTATCACGCAAACACGAGCTGCTTTTATCATCAGTCACCAACACAAAATGATGAGTACATTCGGCGAAAAGGCCGCCAATAGTGCAGCGGACTATGGACTTGGTGAAGTTACACAGCCTCGCTAGTTCAGCATTTAATGATCACAGTAAAGCCGAGGACTGACAGGAAGTCAAATAAGTGAAATCCTGTGTGGAATAAACCATACGTTTAGAGAAAGGCTCGTCAGATCCGGTGACACAAACCAACCAACGGTCGCCAGACTGAGCTAACTAACGTCAGTTAAACACTCAACCATAAACAAACACGACTCTAGGCTAAATATATTATATATATATATACACATATCCACAGAACTTCACCAAAATGAATTCAAGAGAATCTGTTATTTTAACGTTACTGCTCGACACGAAACTTAACGTTAACCGTTACCTGAAAACCGCGTCCTCCTTGCTGCATTTCGCGGGCGGTGAAAACGCGCTTCTTTTGTTGAAGAGTTTATTAAATAATGTGGGGGCCATAATGGACCCACAGTTTTGAAGGAAAAATCCTCTTTTTGTGATTAATTCTCGAGCCACACTCGACTCCTGCAGACGGACTCCATTTGTGGGCCAGTCATGTGACTGCAGTTAGTCACACGAGCTGCTTAGCAACGCCACTGCTCTCTGATTGGTCGATTATTCGCTGCGTTCCCCTCCGCTTTCCTGATTGGCTGATATTTTGATTCATAGCCCACGTGGCCAGAACGGCTGTGTTGATGCTTTGAGGTTAAATTTAAGACATTAAGGCAGTGTTTTTTTAATGCTCGGTGATACATTAAAAAAAGAGCAAAAGCATTCGTCTTTTTAATATTTATTCTAATCTTTTTTTCTAATAGGATTTCATTTGTAAGGTTCTCTTTTCATTTAAAGCATGTAAAAACCTATTCCACGAGCACCTCAAGGCACTGCTGCTTTCTCATTTTGATGATTAAAATCATCCAGTATACATAACCTGATCAGTTTTAACTTCATTTGACATTGGCATATTCCAAGAGTTGTATATTATCCAGCGCTTGTGTTTGTTTAAGAAGACTCACTCCAGTGCATGGCCATTCAATTCCATTCTAATATTTGTAGAAATGTAAACCAAGCATGTAGAAGAAGTGTTGACTGTCCTCTGCTGGTCAGATATGATCCAGGGTTTCGACTGAAGTCCTCTCAGATTGAGATGCTCTATAAAGAACAGAAATGCACACAAAAGGAACATGCATTTCATTGAAATTTCAAAAATGTCAATATGTGGAATGAGAAAAGAAAATGACCGGTTTGGCAGGAAACTTAAAGATGAGTCTGTGGGAAAAGGCTTCCCTCTCACGCTCATCCCCAGGCCTTGAGGGAAACGTCTCGGGATCTCGCTGGCACTCTTCCGCTTGCTTCAACCAGCTTTACTCCAGAGTCCTGCTGCTCTGTCTTACCATGTTTATGGCTTGATACGTTTCCAACGCTCACAATATCGCTGAACGTCACTTTTCTGCAAAACACTAAAAAGGGAAGATTTCCTCATTATCCTGTTGACGTCCAGACTCTATTCACCCTGTGATATCATCAGGAGCATTACTCATTTCTAGTAGAATGCAAGAGGGAAGCACTTAGTCACACAGACATGAATGTGACCATACATAGGCCTAATATGAAATATGTAATACAGTATTAATCACCTTTTTCACAACAGGGGAAATAACTACAACCCTAGTATTCACAGGCGTTCTCTCATTAGCTGATTTTAACACACATCCTGCAAACAGCAGAAACAGAGCTTTATTTAATACAAGTAAGAAAGAAAAAGTAACGCCATCTACGGTATTCATAACTTGCAGCCAGCTTTACTCCAGAGTCCTGCTGCTCTGTCTTACCATGTTTATGGCTTGATACGTTTCCAACGCTCACAATATCGCTGAACATCACTTTTCTGCATTTTACTGGTTGTTCCTTTTCTGCAAAACACTAAAAAGGGAAGATTTCCTCATTATCCTGTTGACGTCCAGACTCTATTCACCCTGTGATATCATCAGGAGCATTACTCATTTCTAGTAGAATGCAAGAGGGAAGCACTTAGTCACACAGACATGAATGTGACCATACATAGGCCTAATATGAAATATGTAATACAGTATTAATCACCTTTTTCACAACAGGGGAAATAACTACAACCCTAGTATTCACAGGCGTTCTCTCATTAGCTGATTTTAACACACATCCTGCAAACAGCAGAAACAGAGCTTTATTTAATACAAGTAAGAAAGAAAAAGTAACGCCATCTACGGTATTCATAACTTGCATGGAGTGAAACTCGAGTACCTGATGCCAAGGTTTCAGAGGGCACACGGAGAGGAGAGAGGCTGAGAAATATATCATTTTAGTTACATTTTTGTGACGACGTTAAACTGAGAAGTATATCAGCACATATTCATTGTCAATAGTTTTAAATGTTATTACAAGGCTGCATTTAAGTGCTCAAAAACACTAATATTAAAAGACAGTATTACGATTTTTTGCCCCCCCCCCTCCCAAAAAAACAGCTTTCTATTGCAATATATTTTAAAATCTAATTGATTCCAGTGATGCTAAGTTAATTTTTTTAAAGCATCATTATTCCAGTCTTCAGAGTGTCACATGATCCTGTTAATAGAAATGTATGACTTTATGCATTTATATTACAAAAGATCCTGTTTCAAATAAATGCTGTTTTTTAACTTCTATTTATCAAATAATATTAATATCAAAAAATGAAGCCACAAAAACATTGATGAAAATAAAAAAACATTATTAATAACTGAGCACCAATAATAATTAAGCATATTAGAATGATCTCTGAAGGATCATGTGACACTTAATACTGGAGCAATGATGATGGTAACAATATTTTCAAATAGAAAATAGTTATTTCAAATGCCAATAATATTTCATAATATTATGGTTTTTACTGTATTTTTGATCAAATAAATGCAGCCTTAAAACATTTAAAAAAGAATGTTTCCAAACTTTTGTTTTTTAGAGTATGCGTAAAATCTGAATTATCATCTAGTCTTTTTTTCCCACGGAAGTTTCAAACCCTTCTGTGTGTATGTATGCATTAAGGCCTTACCAAATGTGTGACAAAGGAAACGATTTCTCTTCAGCAGGGTTTATTGATAGCTCTGCATAAAGCGTAACACAGCGCTAAAACATTTATGTGAAATGCATCCGCCCTCACTGCATTAATAGCAGTTATGAATGATAAACAGCCACGACTCACCAAGAATGGAGGAGAGGTTTGGAGGCTGCTGCAGCGCCAGATCCTGCGCATGGCTGTGATCCAGAAGAGTTGAGTTTTTCACCGTGTTCATCATCCCTTCTTCACCCAGTAACGCTGTCCCCTCGTCTGAGCGCTCAGGAGAGGCACACAAACAGCAGATCATGTTCACTGAAAGCACTAGAAAGTCAAATACTGTATATAATGATTTGTACTGAAGTGCCACAATTTGGTCTCCCCGCTTTGAATTGGTTTACTTCAATGATACGTTAGAATTTTGTGAATTTTTTGAATGAAAGATCAAAAGGATAAACAATGCAGATTTATTTTCACAGCCGCCTTTGCTCATATTTACCAAGGGTGCCAATATTAGTGGAGGGCACTGTATACACATACATTATTATATACTCAATATTCATTTCTGTTCAGTGGCAGTTTACAGGGTCACATCGGTCAAGTGTTCCATATAAGAAATTACAGCAAGTGAGTTTGATACAACAAGTAAACGTCGTGAAAGCATTGTGTCCGTGTTTGAAGCTGGAGACTCAACATCCAGACATTCCAACAAGAAGCTGGAAACACCAGAGGACATGGTTATACCTGGTTAATAACACAGAACAGGTCTGTGAGGAGATATAACCGCTCGAAGCATTGAAAAGAGAGCGTCAAACCCACTTGTGGAGTCCTGGCTGAAGTCGTTGGAGGCACTGGGAGTCGACATGCCCTGCTGAGAGCAGAGGAGAGTCATTACTCTCTTACACATCGCATGGCTGTCCGCAGACCCAGTCTGACTCGTATAGCTTGCAGATTTCAGACTCATACACACAAACTCCTTGTTAGAGATATCAGAGCGCTCGTACCTCAGCATGACCTCTCCTGCATCTGGAAATCAACGACTGGCCATTCAGACACCTTACTCTGAAACTTACATTTGCAAACTTAAAAATTTGCAGAACATGGCTTCAAAAAAAAGAAAGAAGGTAGTTCATGCTGTGTTGCATGATAACGTTCCACAGGTGCATGCAAGATTTGAATGAGGCTGCAGCTGAAATCACATATTTCTCTACTATGTAGTAGGCGAGAAACAGTATGTGACAAAAGTAGTACGTCCAAACTTACAGTACGCACAAAACAGTACTGTTACTGTTAAAAGTAATGCATTCCAACATTGCTTCTCTAACTTTTTACACCAAGTACCACATCAGAAAATAAGTGGCTCTCCAAGTACCACCATAACGACCAACATTAAAATACAGTAGCGCAGTAGGCCTAATTATTCAGCCACAGCTCTGTTCAAAAACAAGGCAGTTTTATTCCTAATAAGAATATTTATTATTGCCGGCCACTTTAAACATTGTAAATACAGTTTGAACATTACATACAGGTAAATAAAAATGTTTTACGATTAAATTAAAATGTACTGTACCTAAAAGTTAAATAAAAACTGTACTGTACTTAAAGGTAAGGTAAAAAATGTACAGTACTTGATCAAAAATTTTTTACACGGGCATCATTTAGCCACCTTGCAAACTTTTAGCTAAGTTGGCAACACTGCGCACAAACCCAACTGATACTTTAAGTGTATAATCTATTAGTAGGCCTACATATTAAGCCGTAAGGTAACAAAAGCGTTTAGCTATCTTCAATTGACAATAAAGGTGGGGTAAGGAGAACAAATATTCTTGATTATCTGTTATTAATTTACAGGAATAACCATTTTTTTTACAGTGCCTGCTATATTTTATTTTTCAACTTAAATGTGCTTTTGATTTTTATTAGGCTACCTATTATTATTATTATTATTCTGCATAAAAACTGATCTTGCAAACTGTAGGCCCAGTATGGAGTTACTTTTGTGCCTTTTGCATCACACACCGAGCTTGAGGGCAAAACAAATGATATTGTAATTAAAAAAATAAAAAGTCTTGTTAAGACGATAATAATTGATAACAAAACTCTTTGAATTTGAATCGCAAGCAAAGATTTTAGACCTGCAAAAAATGACAGCAGAGCAGAGCGCAGGACGTATGGGTGCTAATGAAAAGTGAGGGAACTGCAGAAAGGAAAAATACTTTATATTTGCAAGCTTTTATTTTTTTAATTACATTCAAATGAGTTTTTGGTCTCATTGCCCTTCAGATTATAATAAAGATGGTGATTATTAATGTTGAGAGAGCCTGTGTTAGCCTAAACTGTGTGATAAGAACTGATTTGACTATTATTACTGATTTACTCTCATTCACGGTGAGCATGAATCCACTGAAAAAGCTCTGTTACACATCCCTAACCATAACAGTCAGTTCATAGTAGTCTGTATTGAATATGGCTTGTGCAGTAATGGGTAGTAACTGATTACATAATTATGATTACATAATCAGACTCCAAAAAATTAAGTACTTGTAATTAGAGTGCATTACAGTCATAATCAGATTATGATTACATATTATTCAATGGCAGTAAATTATTATAATTTGTTTATTCTCCCTAATTCTTCTTTCTTTTAAATTGTCTTTTCTAAAAATCCTACTGTGTGTCATACCATTTAGTCGTGTAATGTCATTGCTGTATTCATGTTTGTTCATTTAATGCAGGGATTCCCAAACGCTTGTGTCAGCCAAACTCCTTAAATTACTTATTTGAAATATCTCAGAGGAAGTCAAATATTCCAATAATTTAACAATTTACATGTTTATAGTTCTCTGATGTCGGTTATTGGTCACATTGACATGCAGGTAAACAAATAAAATATTTCTATTTTTAGTGTTTAAGTATTTCAATTATTTGTATATGATACATGATTTAATTTGAACTCTCAAACTCACTGCAGTTCTTACATTAAGCCCAGTCTGGGAAAGCACTGATGTAATGTTTAATGCATTTTATGATGTTGATTGCAAAAAACGGAGTATTTTTTTTTTATATCAATGTTACGTTTAATGGTGAGTTTAAAACAAGTTAGATAAAAAAGTAATCTAAAAAGTAGTCTGAATACATGACTTAAATGAGTAACTTATTACGTTACTAATTACAATTTTCATCATGTAATCTGTGATCAGTAACATTTTATACAATTTGTAAGTAATCTACCCAGCACTGATCTAAGTTGCAAGTCCAGCATTACTCGAGTTTCCTTCAAAAACACAAGCATTTTCTTTCATTCCAAGTCATATTTATATTTCAATAAACTTTATCAAGCAATATGCAAGCTTTGAGAATACGGAACGAGCACCACTATTTTTTGAAATCCCTTCTTTAGGACAGTATTTATCAGACTGTAAAACGTTTTAAAATGCCACATTTGACAAGCTTTAGAAGTGTTGCGTTCTGTGTTTGTGGAAGTCTGTTCAGCAATTTATTACACATCAGACAAACGAATAAACTAATGGATTACTGAAAAGAACAAATGTAGGGCGGGGTCTCGGTTCCATCCACTGGTTGTTGATTGGATGTTGAGATGTGGGTGTGGCACTCAAATGAATGCAGCTCTTGCAGAGGACGGGGTTTATACGTAATACACGTTAGACATTGTATTGGCCACTGGTCAGTGGTCACCTTTCTATCAGCTCTAGATACTGCCACTGGTCACTGAAACACAATTTCATAGTGCAGAACAGACCTTTTACTGTCAGACTTCTGAAAATGTCACACCATGTCTTAAAGTTCACAGTCATTGACCGTATATATTTGACTGCTTATGATGCATACTTTTGGACTGGGTAGTAAACTGGTCTGAAGTTTATCATTTATATACCTGTTGACATTTCATGCATTTAATCGTATCATTTATTTTTTGGTGACATCAAGTTGTAGTTTTTTTCAGATGCGATGTTCAAAATACCTGATGGTGCCAATACATTCCAATAAATTCTTCTGACTGTATACCAAAATGAATTTATTCTCATAATTCTCCTCATTTGTGACTGCGACTCATTAGTCTCCACCCTTCACACAGGCTGCAGAGTAGACAAGGAAAACAAACAGGGTTAAACCAAAAGCCGTCGACACAGAATGACGCACATTTCACAACGAAATGCTGCATAACAGTAACTCAGCTCTACTTGGACATAGCGTGCAGCTCATGCCTCTGCCTCGAGAAAATGTTCAGCAGATTCAGTGCTTTTCCCCCAAGATCTGGTAGTTAGAAACTTCACTTGTGAAGTTAGTCTGTGCAACAAATCTTCAATGCTAATAAACTCTCCAAACAGTAGATCAGAACAGAAACGTGTTATCCGTTAAACAGCACTAAAGCAGTCCGTCCCACTTGATAATCCCGTCCGCCTTCGTTTCGGGAAACTGGAACTGTGGACATTAAAAAAATTATAATAAATTAAAAAAGCGACAGACCAGGTTCTCATCCAATACCTATATTGAAGAAGGGAGATTGGATCTCTATGTATCCTGTTTTTAAACAGCAAAACCAAAAGAAAGGAAGGAAGGAAGATACCGAAAGAAAGAAAGAAGGAAGGAAGGAAGGAAAGAAGGAAGGGAGAAAGAAAGAAAGATGCCACCGACAGCAAGAGAACTGAACTGGGCAGCCTACTTCCCCAAAATCAATGTTTTCTTTTGTTTTTTCTTTTTTCTGAATCCAAACTCAGAGGCATATAAGAGGCGTGAGAGAGGCTGGTGCGGACGCAGAAGAGAGCCGAACGAACTTAGTCGATGTCCATTTCGGGAAGCTTGGCCTCTGTGTTTTCTGGGGCAGCTTGGCCCTTCTCTGGGTTGCCCGCTTGGGCCTCTGAACCCTCCTGTCCGTTCACAGGGCCGTTCTGCTCGGCCGGAGTCTCCTCCTTGGGAGGCTCCACTTTGGGCTTGGGTTTGGTGACGACGTGATTGCAAGCAGAATACAGCTCCTGTATAATGATGAAGACACAGTTAGAAGATTCAGTTCTCAAGAGGACATATATGTGACCCTGGACCACAAAACCAGTCTTAAATGTCAATTTTTCCAAAATTGAGATTCATACATCATCTGAAAGCTGAATAAATAATCTTTCCATTGATGTATGGTTTGTTAGGATCGGACAATATTTGGCCGAGATACAACTATTTGAAAATCTGGAATCTGAGGGTGCAAAAAAATCTAAATATTGAGAAAATCATCTTTAAAGTTGTCCAAATGAAGTTCTTAGCACAAGTTCTTGCATATTACTAATCAAAAATGAAGTTTTGATATATTTATGGTAGGAAATTGTCAAAATATCTTCATGGAACATGATCTTTACTTAACATCCTAATGATTTTTGGCATAAAAGAAACATGAATAATTGTGACCCATACAATGTATTGTTGGCTATTGCTACAAATATCCCCCAGCGACTTAACACTGCTTTTGTGCTGCAGGGACACATATCTGCTTCCAGGGTAATAATGAAACAAGTTTTAAAAAGTGATTTTTCACTATTATTTACAGCAGGATCTGTATTTTCATGGGTTTAAATAAAAGATTTTTGTTTATCAGAGATAATAAAAACAACAAGTGCATCAAAACTGCTAATTTCCTGGTAAAAAATGAACTTAATTTACAAAAGTTAACAAGTTTGCAACAGTAAATGTTACAGAACGTAACTTTTTTGAAAAGTCAAACGTATCAGTCTCTTAAATTGTGACACGCAATTAAATTAACTTCAAAAAAATCATTTCAAACATCTCCGGCATGTTTTATAACACCCAAAAATCAAGCATATGTTCTCAGGCCTTACACACATTATCATGTCCATCACAAACGTAGGCTGACTGTCAGTTGGAATATTAGAACTAAAACCATCAACATAACACTCGCAGGCATCAGTCACTTCACTGAACACCTGCCGCTGGCTAAGAAATAAATCATTATGCTCTTAAATCCACAGATTTGAATATCATGACATCGATATCTGTCAAAAAAATAACGTGCACTGCACAATACACGGTAGTATTTACGAGTAGCAGAGGTCCAGGGAATATATGCATTCCTGGAGAACCCACATTACATTATCGCTTTCTGAGAATGAGGAGAAAATAGCAGCTTCAACATGCTGTCTGTCAGAGACCGTAACATTGTAACATACATAATACACAACGATTTACATGTGGTGTTTTTTTTATACATAAACTACACATTCTATGATTATGATGTTCCTAATTTGAATATTTTTCACCATTTCTTTTTCTTCATTATTTTGGCAATAGATGAACTATTACCGTATTGACCCAAATATAAGACGATGTTTTTTTCTTGGAAATACATCTGAAAAAAAAAAAACGCGGTCGTCTTACAGTGGGGAAAAAAAGTATTTAGTCAGCCACCAATTGTGCAAGTTCTGCCACTTCATGTACCAATATCAATGTACAAAATACCAATACTTATTTTACCGAGGAATTTACCAATTAATTCTTTAAAAATCCTACAATGTGATTTTCTGGATTTTTTTTCTCATTTTGTCTCTCATAGTTGAGGTATATGATCTTGAGATTAAGTCGTCCCTGTAGTAGTCTAATTTGACTCTCATATGCGGTCCCACAGGTTCTGGAACTTGAAGGGTGATTTTTATAAAATGTAGTTTGATCAGTATCTCCTCAAATTTTGATCAAATTACTTAATTTTACAAAAATTTTTTTTTTTACATGGTTATATTTAACTAGCCCTTAGCTGATTTTGAGCCATACGGATAATCAAAATACTGGTGAGGTTTGTACCTTTGTTTTGGCCTGAATCTCTTGGGCTTTAACCACAGGGTCCTGACTGAGACTCTGTTTGCTCTGCAGATTCATTTTGTTGTTCATCCAGGTCATGGTTTCATTCACCTGCTTCTCCACCTTCATCACCTCCAGCTCATCCAAATGATCATACAGCTCATCCTGAGTTAAGAGATAACAGAAGTGAGATTCATCCAATCTGTAATGTATAAAACGCTATATAAATAAATGTGCCTTGACTTAATGAGTGACTACCTTGGCCTTATAAGCCCCGACGACCTTCATGTACTGCTGGATTTGCCTTCCGAGCTCATTCAAAGCTTTTGGCCGCTCCTCTGCCTCCATGAGTCGGTTTTGAATCGGCTCTCCCAGTTTCTAGGAGCAACTTTTTAATGTCATTCTTTTTAATGGGCAACACTTTCAAATTTCAACAAACCAGTAACACATCTCATCTACCTTCAACTCAGCCAGTTTATCGATGTACACTTGCTTCTGCTGGTCCTCTCCTTCTTCATACAACCAGTTTTCAGTGTCCTCCAGTTTCAAGGAGAAAGAATCTCGGTCCTGCATCGAAAGACATTGCTTAATAAAAACCATCGCTTAGAAGCATAGCTATCTTTATGAATGAAAGCAAATACATGTAGACACTCACAGCCTCGCTGACAAAGTTCTCCAGCACTCCGTGCAGTTTGTCTCTCATTTCATAAACATATTCCTCCACATAGTTCTTGGCATCGTTTCTTTCTTTCTCCAGCTTATCCTGCATAATCATCTTCCCCTACAGGCAAGGAAACACAACGTCAGAAACCAGTTCTAGAAAAGGCACCTGCATCTTTTATCAGTGTTCAAATTATTTGTACTTTACATTTTTATGATTTAATTAATTGATCGTTTTTTTTTTAATAAACTTACTGCAGTTCTTACATTAAGCCCAGTTTGGGAAACTGCGGTGTAATGTAGTGTTCAAGGCACTGTATGATGTTGACATCAAAAAATGGAAAACAATAAATATATTCTAAATGACAATTCGCCTGTGTCTATTAAAGCTTTGACAAAGTCATGCCGGATCATTCAAATCAAAAAACAGCCTTTTCAACCACACAGTATTATTTCTGTCTCAATCATTTAATAAACTTACTGCAGTTCTTACATTAAGCCCAGTTTGGGAAACTGCGGTGTAATGTAGTGTTCAAGGCACTGTATGATGTTGACATCAAAAAATGAAAAACAATAAATATATTCTAAATGACAATTCGCCTGTGTCTATTAAAGCTTTGACAAAGTCATGCCGGATCATTCAAATCAAAAAACAGCCTTTTCAACCACACAGTATTATTTCTGTCTCAATCATTCAAATAATCACAGAATTACTGGGATAAAGGTTTATAGTTTGCATATAAACACTGATGTCTGTTGTAGCCACTAAAATAGAGCAAATCACCTTTTGAAAGTATTTGGGGCTTCACATAACGTTTGTGTTGATTACATTGTTTCGCTACTAGATGGCGACAATTGGCTGTCAAAAAAAATTATTTGTGATTGAATCATTTATTCTAGAGATTTGTTCTAAAGGCTGATTCATCCAGTAATGAAACAAGTGAAGTATTTGAGTGAATCATTCAATCATTCATTCAAACCAATTTTTTCGAAGTAAATTACACATTATTTTGTTTAGTTCAGAAACGTGGGAGAATCGATCTCTGTTTGAAACCAAAAAAATTGTGATTCTCAATTGATCCAGAATCGTGCAACTCTAGCTTCTCCTACAGAACACTAACCAGAGAAACCGATCGCTGTGGTGTAGTTTAAGTGCTTTGCACTCTGTGATGTACCTCATTCTCCACGAGCAGATTGAGCGTTTCACTGGCCAGCTGCCAGTGCAGGCTGTTCTCGATGGGCAGATCCACCGTCTTTGTCTTCACTTTGGCTTTCTTGGCTTGTGGAGGTTCATTCTTCTTCTCCTCCTGTTTGTTGTCTTCTGAAGCCTAAAAGTCATTATAGTCGCAGTGAATTTCCCATTTGCCATTGCAAACATTAGGTATTGTAGAGCAGTGGTGGGTTTCAAGGGGATAAAATGCTCCCATATCTTTGTTATTGATGTCAAATTGTGTCCAATCCAACTATGTTTTACCATTAAACAGGTGAAGTGATGCAGTAATCCAATGCACTATACGTCTGTCTAATCAATCGCATGACTCTTCTTATACTGTATATTTTGGACCTATGCAGTTCACTTTTGGTACCGTGTTGGGTTGCCAATACAAAATTCAGGTTTTCTATAACATAAGCACGGTATAATATTCATGTGAGGGCACATATAAGCTGTAAAATGCTTTTTAAAAATTGCATTTTTGATTTAATGTCCCTTTTTTTCCTTTCTCCGTTTCTTTTACATTGTTTTGATATTTCATATGACAATAAAATAGTTGACAATAAAGCATCAGTCTGTCAATAGGAATGAACCTTGGCTATTTTTAGATGCACAACAAGCAGGCTGCAATTGGAAATGCACGCTTTTAAATACATTCGTATTTTGTTGAAATGTTGTATATCTGGTGTTGGTGTGCAAGTGTATTCACACACCTCCATGTCTTCAGTGTCCGATTTCTTGTCTGCATGTTCTTTCTGATCATCACCTTGAGCCTTCTGTACTTCTTGATCCACTTGCATCTTGTTCTTGAAGGAGCAAATATAATCAATGTTCACAGGGTCTTGTAAATGACTATGGTCACAAACACACTCAAAACTTATCGTTTAGCATGTGTACGGAACAGAAAGTAGCTCCTACTAACCCAAACTCTCAATAATTTTGAATGGTTTTGTAAACGTTTGTTTTTGCATCTCACAAGTGTAAATGTATGGAAGCTTATTTCCACCACAGAATAAAAACCAAATAAAAACGGCAATTGCGACTTTTTAGGCTCACAATTCTGACCTTTTTCCCATCACACTTCTGAAAGTCAGTTGTCAATTGTGAGTTTAGAATTTACAACTGCAAGATATAAATTTGCAATTTTGAGGAAAGAAATCTAAATTGTGAGAGAAATTTGCAATCACCGTTTCTGATATTTTTATTCTGTAGCAAAAATAAGCTTTCATATACACTTTCGCTATTCAGTATTAATTTCAGAAGTGACTCCTGTATTCTGTACACACACAGAACGACAGTAAAGGGATTAACTTCCACATTAAAATGTATATAATGCTCACAAAACAAGTAAAATCTAGTTTTTAGAGCTAATGCTTCATAAAATATTAAACCAACTGCTCTGTGCCCAATGGATCCCCTGGTGTCATGGGATAGACAAAACCATTAGGGGTGACTTTACCTCATCCTCTTTGGCTGGAGTGTCTGTCTCCATGGGTTCCTCTCCCTCTGCAGACTTCACAACCTCCACCAGGGAGGCGCTGGACACACTGAAGACCCCGTGCACATTCACACGCACCTTCACCTTCACCTTGGAGCTCTCGCCGGATGGCTGAGGCACCACCTTCTGGATGTTAAACTGGCCTGTGGACAGGCAAAAATGGTCAAAATGGTTGCAAAATTAATCATAATCATGATTTCTGCTTTTCTTGATTAAGCATAATCGCCTGTGAAACTGGCTCGCTGGTTTAATTTTCATTAGACATTTCCACTATCTTGCATTGGTATTGAGCCTCTACAAGCTTTCTTGCTTGAGGTTGCTAGATGTCAAAAGATCAAACCCTCAAAAATGTATCCAGTCTCTAAGAAGGATACTTTTTCTGCCTAGCGTTTTACTAAATCTTCCCAACCATGCTGAAAATAGTGACAAACAAGTATGTTATGGAGGAAATATATATATATGGAGTTTAGCGATCTCTACTGTGATTCGTTCACAGGGTGCTGTTTGCTGAGACTAAATCTGTGAGCAAACCTTCTCAGTGATAAACCGTATTAAATCCAAACATGAATCTCAACTATATTGTCCGTGACTGTGGTTGCTGAATCAATGCACTTCTGCAAACTTTTTGTTGCTTTAATAGAAAGTCGTTAAACAAACAAAAAAATTTATAAACATACTGTATATATATATATATATATACACACACACACACATATATATAGACACACATAAAAAAAAATTTTAAGTACACTTTAACAATTCACGTCAAATTTGATTTATAATAGTTTATTTATAATAGAGCTGTCATGTGAATGAAGTTCGGTGTAACTTTAAGCCAGACCACAGTAAAATGCACATCTCATCAGTGTGTAGCACTCTATTCCACAGTCCTGTTACGCATGTACAACAAGTGCACATGCTGTAAAATAAAACGCAACCCATTTGTTTGTTTTCACACTTTATTAGAGTAACACATTCAAACTCTGAATATTATTTGTTTGTTTGTGGACATGTCACACATAAAAAAAATTTTTAAGTACACTTTAACAATTCACGTCAAATTTGATTTATAATAGTTTATTTATAATAGAGCTGTCATGTGAATGAAGTTCGGTGTAACTTTAAGCCAGACCACAGTAAAATGCACATCTCATCAGTGTGTAGCACTCTATTCCACAGTCCTGTTACGCATGTACAACAAGTGCACATGCTGTAAAATAAAACGCAACCCATTTGTTTGTTTTCACACTTTATTAGAGTAACACATTCAAACTCTGAATATTATTTGTTTGTTTGTGGACATGTGTAGACTAATACTTAATGAAGTAGTACTGTGCTAAGCTCCAATTAAGCAAAGAAGCATTCCCAACATACCCATGGTAGGATCAGGATACGGCAGCTCTTTGGGATTGTTGTAGTAGGCCTCCAAAGAGAAAGGCTCCCTCCGGTAGAAAGTCAACACTTTAGAGAAGGGTGCGGCATGGTTCTTCGGGAAAACTTCACAATCACTGCAGAGCAAGACATAATGTGACTATTGAAAGAGTGAACTAAGAGAGTTAATCATGACACACAGAGAACCAAGAACGCACCTGATGCCTTCGTCAGCCGCTGAGGTCCACTTCAGAGAGATGGGGTAGGGAACCACTTCTGTGATGGAGAACTCACGCACTTTGAAGGCGGGCGACAGGATTGCACACTGAGGAACAATAAAGACTTGTTTGCAACACTAAGAAACACTGTAGGCTGTTATTATGAGAAGCAGCAGAAAAATGAGCTCTGTATGCAAAGCAATATGAAAAAACTGGTGGTACAAATTATCACAGGAAGTCATTATTATCACAGTTCTGTGGTTACAGAATCACACACTTGGTAGATTAGGGCCCTATGAAATCAGTTTTATTTAACAAAATTCTGTTTTTTTGTTTTCGTTTAGATTTTTCTGTATTCCTGTATATTATTGTTTCTCCTCTATGCCCCGCCTTTCTGAAACGCGTCGATTTTTACAAAGCTCATTGGTCAGAAAAGAGAGGTGTGCTCTGATTGGCCAGCCATCAAGTGCTTTGTGATTGGCCGAATACCTCAAGCGTGTGATGGAAATGTTACGCCCCTTAACATATTTGGAAACACACAGCGTCTCCACGACATGGCGGCGGCAACAATACTACAGTGAGAATAAAAGTTACACCTTCTTTCTTTGCATAAACATTTGAGCGGCGTCATGCAAATCTTCCCACATAGTGAACGTAGTGTTTAAATTAGGCATTTTAGGAAGGCGTGGGCGAGTCTTAACTTCTAGAAAGAATATCTCTTTGGATTTGAGACTTTAATCTGTAAGACTTTATGGATTTTATATGTGACCCTGCAGCACAAAAGCAGTCTTAAGTCGCTGGGGTACATTTGTAGCAATAGCCAAAAATACATTGTATGGGTCAAAATGATTGATTTCTTTTATGCCAAAAATCATTAGGATATTAAGTAAAGATCATGTTCCATGAAGATATTTAGTACATTTCCTACCATAAATAGATCTAAACTTAATTTTTGATTAGTAATATGCATTGCTAAGATCTTCATTTGAACAACTTTAAAGATGATTTTCTCAACATTTAGAATTTTTTGCTCCCTCAGATTCCAGATTTTCAAATAGTTGTATCTCGGCCAAATATTGTCCTATCCTAACAAACCATACATCAATGGAAAGCTTATTTATTCAGCTATTCTATTTTTAAAAACTGACCCTTATGACTGGTTTTGTGGTCTAGGGTCACAAATAAGCATTAACAGCTTGTAACACTCCAAAGACAAAGGAAAATATGAAATCGCGTCATAGGACTCATAAATAGTGTTATACAGTATATATCGACTTTATATCAGCCATGGGCCACCCTGTTCTCTAAGATATTGGCATGGGCCATTAAAAAGTTAATGTCCAAAAACTAACCTGCAAAGCACATCCTCTGGCCACAGCCTCGTCCGCGTTCAACGTCGTGCTCAGCTCCGTTCCGAAGAATTTGCTGATTCTCTCTTTGATGGCTGGAATCCTGGAGGCGCCGCCCATGATCTCCACTGCATAGATGTCGTCTTTCTTCAGTCCTGGTTATAGGAGGGGAAAAAACACCACCACTGTTGCATCACTGCTTGACGGGAAAGACACGCTGCTAAAAGCAAAAGCACTTGCACTCACTGGTCTGTTCCATGATGCTGCGCAGTGGAGCCTCCACCTTAGCCAGCAGCTCTGCACAGAACTCCTCAAACTTGGCTCTGGAACAAGAGAGTCATGAAGATATTATTAGACGTGGTATTTTAATGAATTAACCCGCTGACATCATAACATTTCCCCGTCACAGCTCAGTGCCTAATTTACGCCGCTGACATAGAGCGCCCAGTTTAGCTGTTAGCATGCAGTTACTGACCTGTTAAGCTTGCCTGAGACGTCGATGTCATTCATGAAGCATTCGATGTTGAGCGGCAAGTCCGAGGAGTTGGCGCTCATGAGTTTCTTCAGTTTCTCGCACTCCTGGTAGAGCCGCACTAGAGCGCGGGGCTTCGATCGCACGTCCAGCTTGTACTTCTGCGCAAACTCCTCACAGAAGAACTTGACCAGCACCTCATCGAAGTCTTTACCGCCCAGCTCAGGGTCAAACGCAGAACCCAGAACCTGCGTTAATCAGTCAACAAAAGCATTGAGGGACAAACTTGCTATCAAATAGACACATGTACAAAATTATGCAACGGTTTCTTAAAGGGATAGTTCACCCCAAAATGAAAATTCTGTCATTAGTTACTCACCCTCATGTCGTTCCAAACCCGTAAGACCTCTGTTCATCTTCGGAACACAAATTAAGATATTTTTGATGAATTCTGAGAGCTCTCTGACCTTCCCATAGACAGCAAGGTAACTACCACGATCAGGGTCCAGAAACGTAGCAAAAAGATCATTAAATTAATCCATGTGACATCATCGGTTCAACCGTAATATTACGAAGCTACGAGAATACTTTTTGTGTGCAAAGAAAACAAAAATAACGTAGGATCAGGATACGGCAGCTCTTTGGGATTGTTGTAGTAGGCCTCCAAAGAGAAAGGCTCCCTCCGGTAGAAAGTCAACACTTTAGAGAAGGGTGCGGCATGGTTCTTCGGGAAAACTTCACAATCACTGCAGAGCAAGACATAATGTGACTATTGAAAGAGTGAACTAAGAGAGTTAATCATGACACACAGAGAACCAAGAACGCACCTGATGCCTTCGTCAGCCGCTGAGGTCCACTTCAGAGAGATGGGGTAGGGAACCACTTCTGTGATGGAGAACTCACGCACTTTGAAGGCGGGCGACAGGATTGCACACTGAGGAACAATAAAGACTTGTTTGCAACACTAAGAAACACTGTAGGCTGTTATTATGAGAAGCAGCAGAAAAATGAGCTCTGTATGCAAAGCAATATGAAAAAACTGGTGGTACAAATTATCACAGGAAGTCATTATTATCACAGTTCTGTGGTTACAGAATCACACACTTGGTAGATTAGGGCCCTATGAAATCAGTTTTATTTAACAAAATTCAGTTTTTTTGTTTTCGTTTAGATTTTTCTGTATTCCTGTATATTATTGTTTCTCCTCTATGCCCCGCCTTTCTGAAACGCGTCGATTTTTACAAAGCTCATTGGTCTGAAAAGAGAGGTGTGCTCTGATTGGCCAGCTATCAAGTGCTTTGTGATTGGCCGAATACCTCAAGCGTGTGATGGAAATGTTACGCCCCTTAACATATTTGGAAACACACAGCGTCTCCACGACATGGCGGCGGCAACAATACTACAGTGAGAATAAAAGTTACACCTTCTTTCTTTGCATAAACATTTGAGCGGCGTCATGCAAATCTTCCCACATAGTGAACGTAGTGTTTAAATTAGGCATTTTAGGAAGGCGTGGGCAGGTCTTAACTTCTAGAAAGAATATCTCTTTGGATTTGAGACTTTAATCTGTAAGACTTTATGGATTTTATATGTGACCCTGGAGCACAAAAGCAGTGTTAAGTCGCTGGGGGATATTTGTAGCAATAGCCAAAAATACATTGTATGGGTCAAAATGATTGATTTCTTTTATGCCAAAAATCATTAGGATATTAAGTAAAGATCATGTTCCATGAAGATATTTTGTACATTTCCTACCATAAATAGATCTAAACTTAATTTTTGATTAGTAATATGCATTGCTAAGATCTTCATTTGAACAACTTTAAAGGAGATTTTCTCAATATTTAGATTTTTTTGCACCCTCAGATTCCAGATTTTCAAATAGTTGTATCTCGGCCAAATATTGTCCTATCCTAACAAACCATACATCAATGGAAAGCTTATTTATTCAGCTATTCTATTTTTAAAAACTGACCCTTATGACTGGTTTTGTGGTCTAGGGTCACAAATAAGCATTAACAGCTTGTAACACTCCAAAGACAAAGGAAAATATGAAATCGCGTCATAGGACTCATAAATAGTGTTATACAGTATATATCGACTTTATATCAGCCATGGGCCACCCTGTTCTCTAAGATATTGGCATGGGCCATTAAAAAGTTCATGTCCAAAAACGAACCTGCAAAGCACATCCTCTGGCCACAGCCTCGTCCGCGTTCAACGTCGTGCTCAGCTCCGTTCCGAAGAATTTGCTGATTCTCTCTTTGATGGCTGGAATCCTGGAGGCGCCGCCCATGATCTCCACTGCATAGATGTCGTCTTTCTTCAGTCCTGGTTATAGGAGGGGAAAAAACACCACCACTGTTGCATCACTGCTTGACGGGAAAGACACGCTGCTAAAAGCAAAAGCGCTTGCACTCACTGGTCTGTTCCATGATGCTGCGCAGTGGAGCCTCCACCTTAGCCAGCAGCTCTGCACAGAACTCCTCAAACTTGGCTCTGGAACAAGAGAGTCATGAAGATATTATTAGACGTGGTATTTTAATGAATTAACCCGCTGACATCATAACATTTCCCCGTCACAGCTCAGTGCCTAATTTACGCCGCTGACATAGAGCGCCCAGTTTAGCTGTTAGCATGCAGTTACTGACCTGTTAAGCTTGCCTGAGACGTCGATGTCATTCATGAAGCATTCGATGTTGAGCGGCAAGTCCGAGGAGTTGGCGCTCATGAGTTTCTTCAGTTTCTCGCACTCCTGGTAGAGCCGCACTAGAGCGCGGGGCTTCGATCGCACGTCCAGCTTGTACTTCTGCGCAAACTCCTCACAGAAGAACTTGACCAGCACCTCATCGAAGTCTTTACCGCCCAGCTCAGGGTCAAACGCAGAACCCAGAACCTGCGTTAATCAGTCAACAAAAGCATTGAGGGACAAACTTGCTATCAAATAGACACATGTACAAAATTATGCAACGGTTTCTTAAAGGGATAGTTCACCCCAAAATGAAAATTCTGTCATTAGTTACTCACCCTCATGTCGTTCCAAACCCGTAAGACCTCCGTTCATCTTCGGAACACAAATTAAGATATTTTTGATGAATTCTGAGAGCTCTCTGACCTTCCCATAGACAGCAAGGTAACTACCACGATCAGGGTCCAGAAACGTAGCAAAAAGATCATTAAATTAATCCATGTGACATCAGCGGTTCAACCGTAATATTACGAAGCTACGAGAATACTTTTTGTGTGCAAAGAAAACAAAAATAACGACTTTATTCAACAATTCGTCTCCCGTTTACGTTGTTTACACTTTGCTCTGAACGTAAACAGCGTATCCGCGAACATACGTTGTTTATGTATGTGATACTCTCCAAAATGGAGCTATAGGGTGATGCGGAGGAGACGAATTGTTGAATAAAGTAGTTATTTTTGTTTTCTTTGCACACAAAAAGTATTCTCGTAGCTTCGTAATATTACGGTTGAATTATTTTACGTATCCGCGAACATACGTTGTTTACGTATGTTACGCATGTACGTTGTTTATGTATGTGATACTCTCCAAAATGGAGCTATAGGGTGATGCGGAGGAGACGAATTGTTGAATAAAGTAGTTATTTTTGTTTTCTTTGCACACAAAAAGTATTCTCGTAGCTTCGTAATATTACGGTTGAATTATTTTAACGATCTCCTTGCTACGTTTCTAGACCTTGATCGTGGTAGTTACCTTGCTGTCTATGGGAGGGTCAGAGAGCTCTCAGAATTCATCAAATATATCTTCATTTGTGTTCTGAAGATGAACAGAGGTCTTACGGGTTTGGAACGACACGAGGGTGAGTAATTAATGACAGAATTTTCATTTTGGGGTGAACTAACCCTTTAAGCTTAAATGGTTTTGACATGACAGCTCATCTTAAAAAGAATTCTCATGGCACTGGACAAAAGACATGCATGTGTACAGTAGCTATGTTACCATCCACCTATTTTTATGTGCATTTTGAAATATCGCATTAAAAAAAACGCCTGGATGGAAACGCCAAGATGAGCATAAATTCTAAAAATGCGCATTAAAAAAATTCACACAATTAAGTAGGATAAACTTTTAATCCGATAAGAGAAAATGTGCATAAACTATGATGGAATCACATTTACCGAATAAATTCCACCACGCGCATCAAAAAAAAGTAAAGTGACACTGCACACTTGGGCAGGATAACTTGACTAACCCACGGACCGATCTCGTTGCACAGCATCTGAAATGTTGTTTTGGTTTTTCTGCAATGCCTGAGCAAAGTCTGGCATCAAAGTAGGCCTATTTCTGTATAACTGTCTCACGACTGCGTTCCCAAACAGCAGCATCCACCTCCGAAAGCAATGACAGCGTTTATTGTGTTTCATCATATATGAAAATTATTATATTCAGTGGCATTTCCAACTTTTTTTGTGATAATTAGTGCCAGTTTATCAGGAAGTGACGATTTTGTTCTCTTTGGCTTGTTGGATGGAAACGGTGCTTTATTCGCAAATGTTTTATGCGATGTTCCAGTTTTGCGCATAAATTCACATTTTTGGATGGAAACATAGCTAGCGGCCAACAATCTGGAGTCCAATTGTTTCATAATTTTTTTTGAAATTTATTGTTGAATTTGTTACAAAATCAGTGCTTTAACCCTTGGGTTCTCCTAATTTAGTTCATTCGTGATCCTTCGCGGTCAAAACAGACTGACATTTTTTTTCCCTCATGGAATGAATGGAACTAAATTTTGTCTCAAATATATTAATTATTTAATATTTTAAGGGATTTAATGATGCTAGACAAAAAAAAAGTAAAATAAGCAGCATTTGTGTCTACATAAAAATACAAACATTAGAAAAAATATATTATTTTCAATTAATAGTGTACAGTCGAGATGTCCGTGTAGTCCAATATTTAAACACACACACGTATATGTAATCTATATCTAATCATATATGTAAATTCACATTATTTTAGTATCATATATATATATATATATATATATATATATACACAGTATGTATCATTATAGTTTGTTAATGTTTTAAAATATTTATTTATATACTTAGTTTTTATTTTTTTATTTGTACAATTTTTTTAATTTTGTTATTAGCTTCTAAATATTACTATTTAGGTTTAATTAATTTCAACCCCCAGTTGAAATTTTAGTGCTTCAAATTAATTAATTAATTAAAATAAATAAAATCAGTTTAGGCAAATAACTGAAACACGTTTCTCATCTAATATTTAGTATTTTATTGTAGGTTTATTTCAATTACCAAACATGTTGTAATAGTTTTGGATTTAGTTAACAATAATAACCTAACCCTGCCCTGAATATTAATGTTTTGACAGTTAAGAAATGGCACAATAATGTGCATAATAAAGTATGTGGAGAGAAAAGGCTCACCTTCAACTTGCCCTTGTTAAAGGCACACACAGAGACCTGGTAACCAGCGTGACCAACATCCACGAACACCACAATCCTGGGCTTCTCCTCAGGAGCAGGCAGGTCCTGTTTGTAGATCCCATACGCCAGCGCAACTACAATTACAGTAAACACGTGAACACATTAAACTCTTCAAACTAAAGGTAGACGTAGAGTCATATGGAAACAGTTTTATTTGCTTGTATTTTTAATGTTTTGGGGGCCCAACGCTGTACAATCCATATCTGTTTGTTGGAAAAGGAAAAGCTCAAATATTCAGCACATCTTTCTCTTTGTGTTCCATACAACTAACAGAGGTCTGGCATGACATGAAAGTGAGAATATGACATGACAGGTCTGGCATAAACAGTGACAGAAGTTTCAATTTTGGGTGAAGTAAATCCATCTAAAGTATTTTACCTGCTGTAGTGTCATTCATGAGTCTGAGGCAGTTCAGGCCTGCGATCTGTGCAGCATCCATGACTGATCTTCTCTCGGCATCAGTAAAGAAGCTGGGAACCTATGCAAGAGCATGAGAACACCAAAAAAAACAATAACTACTCACATTCATTACACAGTAACTACAACAGCTAAACGCTAACGACATGAATAATAATGCAATATTCTAAAAATAACATCAGTGATGTTACTGGGACTAACGCTAGAGAAGAACAAACAGCAAGAGTCAAAAAAGGAAGAAATGCTCAACTCAAAATCAAATTAAAAAAATGCTGATGTGAGGTGAAGGTAGTGACATTTGTCATAAATTAAGTCAAATGTATTCAAAGCACCTTTATATATAATCATAATGTTATTATATATAGTATATTAATATCTTCACACCTTGTACTCGCATTTAGCAGATTAAAGTTACAAGCAACCAAGCATTGAGATTTGCTAGTATATATCATCTTATGTGAGTATACTTTATGTATGGACGTAAAGTTCACAGACATATTCATATATCCTACTTTAAATGATATTTTGGAGACAATATATATATGCATTTGTGTGTATCTATACATCTATCTATTTATATGTACACATGCATTGCTTGCGTTTCTCATCTAATATTTAGTATTTTATTGTAGGTTTATTTCAATTACCAAACATGTTGTAATAGTTTTGGATTTAGTTAACAATAATAACCTAACCCTGCCCTGAATATGAATGTTTTGACAGTTAAGAAATGGCACAATAATGTGCATAATAAAGTATGTGGAGAGAAAAGGCTCACCTTCAACTTGCCCTTGTTAAAGGCACACACAGAGACCTGGTAACCAGCGTGACCAACATCCACGAACACCACAATCCTGGGCTTCTCCTCAGGAGCAGGCAGGTCCTGTTTGTAGATCCCATACGCCAGCGCAACTACAATTACAGTAAACACGTGAACACATTAAACTCTTCAAACTAAAGGTAGACGTAGAGTCATATGGAAACAGTTTTATTTGCTTGTATTTTTAATGTTTTGGGGGCCCAACGCTGTACAATCCATATCGGTTTGTTGGAAAAGGAAAAGCTCAAATATTCAGCACATCTTTCTCTTTGTGTTCCATACAACTAACAGAGGTCTGGCATGACATGAAAGTGAGAATATGACATGACAGGTCTGGCATAAACAGTGACAGAAGTTTCAATTTTGGGTGAAGTAAATCCATCTAAAGTATTTTACCTGCTGTAGTGTCATTCATGAGTCTGAGGCAGTTCAGGCCTGCGATCTGTGCAGCATCCATGACTGATCTTCTCTCGGCATCAGTAAAGAAGCTGGGAACCTATGCAAGAGCATGAGAACACCAAAAAAAACAATAACTACTCACATTCATTACACAGTAACTACAACAGCTAAACGCTAACGACATGAATAATAATGCAATATTCTAAAAATAACATCAGTGATGTTACTGGGACTAACGCTAGAGAAGAACAAACAGCAAGAGTCAAAAAAGGAAGAAATGCTCAACTCAAAATCAAATTAAAAAAATGCTGATGTGAGGTGAAGGTAGTGACATTTGTCATAAATTAAGTCAAATGTATTCAAAGCACCTTTATATATAATCATAATGTTATTATATTTAGTATCTTAATATCTTCACACCTTGTAGTCGCATTTAGCAGATTAAAGTTACAAGCAACCAAGCATTGAGATTTGCTAGTATATATCATCTTATGTGAGTATACTTTATGTATGGACGTAAAGTTCACAGACATATTCATATATCCTACTTTAAATGATATTTTTGAGACAATATATATATGCATTTGTGTGTATCTATACATCTATCTATTTATATGTACAAAAAAAACTGCATGTTTGTAAGAAACAAATCCATCATTTAGGCGTTTTAACTTCAAAACGTTGCGCCAAAAGTCCAGAATCCATAAAAACGCTTTATCCAGTGAAAACGTCAAATACAGTCCGGCTAAAATACTGAATACTAGCAAGAAGTGTCCTTTAGGAAATATAACAGTCACGGAGAAGCGCGGTCGAGCTTGTTATTCCCAAAAGTCGTGTTTAACGCGATTTCATAGTTCTCGGTTGTCCATTGACTAAAGTCGAGGCTGCAGACCGGCTGAGGGACTCTGCTCACGCTCCGCTGGAGTTCACGCTGGAGTCAACGGTTTTATCGCGAGAGTTCGGGAGTTCTAGATGGCTCTGGAGCTTTCCGTGAATGACGGAGCCATGACGACCAGTGTTTTTTTTTTATTTATTTTTTTTATATATATATATTTTATTATTAAACATAGAATACAAGAACTCATAGAGGTGACAGCATAGAATAAAATCAAATACAATAATGTATATGTAAGGCAAAAAAAAAAAAAAAACATTCCGAAGATATTTTCGGGGCACGACACTTTTTAAGTAATCTCAGTGAGGAGCAGAATAGTTTAAATTCGTTCATGAAATGAACAAAGCAGGGGATGACGACCAGTGTTGCAGACTAATTTTCAGAGAAATGACGTTGTGACGTCATTGCGTGATCACGACGCAAGATTGTGACGTCATCAAATCTCAGCCAAAAAATATATTTCATGCGTGTTAGTTTAGATTTGTTTGTAAAATAATATGCATGATATCGTACTAAAATATAAATAACTGTTTATTTGAATTATTGAAAACGTATTCAATGTAAGTTTTTTTTAGTAGCTAGTGAACTAGTAATTCTACACATTCTCAACTAATATGCTTTAAGCAGTGCATTAGTAGTTAGTTAGTGTGCTACACTCTAAGAACAGTCTGTAAAAATAAGGCACAGTCTACTGTGTTAATATGAAATCATTTTCCGTAGTGGTTTTTTACCTGCATTTTAAATGACGCATTGTGTTTTCGGGTTAATGGATGATGTCCTGAAAGATTTTCCATTTTTCTTAGTGTACGAACTGATCAACAATCGCAGGTACAAGCTACTAACCAAGTGTATCATAAATGAACACATATTAAATTATCAAAATATTCAATTATTATTATGTAAATGTATATACAGTTTCAAATATATAATTTGCAGATGATAATAAAATTGTACGACTATAATTACGAAATAATAACACAATAATTAGCCTATAACACACGACACAATAACCATTTGTTCTGACTTTCTGAATTTTTTATGTAAAAAAAAATAAAATAATAATAATTCTGTGTATGAAAACCACAGCTATAGTGAAAAAGAGGCGTTTGTGTAACTTCATAGATACGGAATAAAAACACATGAAGACTCTCCGAAGCTTCAGACGGCACACCGGAACCGGAAGTCAGACTCGCACGATCGCATTCAAAATGGCGACTCCCATGCATAGGTTGATCGCTCGAAGACAAGCGTGAGTTCTTTTTCACAACATTCGAGTTTGGAGTGGAGTTTAACATTACATTTATATTGTATTCATTGTGTTAATTATCCCTGTAGTCTACTTTGTTTTAATACGAAGTTTCAGGTCGTTTAGTTCGAGCAAAACTCTCGCAAACGCTATCGGTTGTGTTGATCTTCTTCTTCTTCTTCTTCTGGCGAGTTACAGGGAGGCAAACAAACAACATGTTCGCTGTCAGAAATGTCTGGAGTATGGACACTGGTCCTATGAGTGCAGTGGGAAAAGAAAGTACCTTTATAGACCTTCCAGGACAGCCGAGTTGAAAAAGAGACTGAAAGACAAGGAGAACAATCCTTCAGATGATCTGGGGTGAGAAACACATTCACACACATGAGCAGCAATACTGAATGTGCGAGTCGCTAATGTATAAGTCAAGACCCTTCGATGATAACTATATATATATATAGCTTATATATTGCCAATATTTCAACTTGAGTAATCTCGTGCAGTTCTAATAGTGTCGTTTTTGTTGCGTTTTAATTACGCTCTTTACAGCGACCTCTAAAGGCGAAAGCGCAGAATGCAGAAGTGTACACTGCATTATTATCAGGGTTGCCAGGTTTTCACAAGAAAACCCGCCCAATTGCTACTCAAAAGTAGCCCAATGGCGTTTCGAGGGGGTCCTCAGTTAAAAAGTGCGTTTCAGAGGGAGAATACACGTTTTTTTGTCCATTTCCCCTTCTAAAATTCGCATTCCTGGGTATAAATATCATATTATTGGAGTCGCTTCAACCGGCGGACATGAAAAATAACCCGCGGCGACAGTGTTAAAGGGGTGGTTGATTGCGATTTCACTTTTTTAACGTTAGTTAGTGTGTAATGATGCTGTTTGAGCATAAACCGGAGCACGTGCCGCTGAGCTGAGGGGCGGAACGTTAGACGCACACTAGAGGCGGTTTAGCCAATCACAACACACTGGGCCAGCTAACCAATCAGAGCCCATCGTGTATTTCTGAGGGAGGGGCTTCATAAAAGCAGGAAATGATCAGAGCGTTCAGAGGAGAAGGGACAGAGCAGTGTGGATTAAAAAAAAAAAAGAATGGGTTTTTTAAAAAACAAAGCATTAACACATGTTAGACTGCACCCCTTAAACACAATCAAGCCTAGAAAAAAACCCAGTCAACCGCCCCTTTAAAGTAGCCCAATTCCGCGGGAAAACGGCGGACTTGGCAACACTGATTATTATCCACCTTTTTCCTACGCACCATGACGCTTTGCGCAAATTATGGGAGTAACTTCTGTTTACACTGTAAACAATCAGCAAAAGGTTCGCTCTATGACTGCAATAATAAGCACTTTCAAAAACTGGGTACAATGAGGTGACATTATTTTACTCACCCTGCAACCATCGTTCATTAAAAGGAAATTTAAACGTGTAAAAGCATTAATAAATCACTTTCAACATACCATGAATAACTCCTAAAGATCCTCCTATCCGCAACAATATTACGGAACAACATTTTAGTACTGGATGTCTTCATTTTGTAACAATTACATTTTACAGCATCCGTGTGAAAACAAACCTGGAAAGAGACATGAGGATTCAGGGAGAAAAATTAAAGATTCTTAGTGCATTCCAGGGAATTGTTCATGGCTTATATCGTAAATTAAATCAAGAGAGCAGACCACAAATGCACAGTATAATATACGCTTATAATATAAGCTTTTTCCATAAAATCTGTGGCTGTCTGGATGTAGCAGAAAACATCTGGCTTTTTCGTCTGTCACTGGCTGTAATTCTGGCCATGAAATCAGGATTAGGCATAAAGGAATGATTCAGATGTGTGAAGATGAGCAGAGAATTAAAGCTATAGGCCCAGATGCAGACAGCAATCATGTCAAGGACAGTACAAGACAATGCAAAAATGCTACAAAATGCATCATAGTTTGTGAGAAAGTGTGACATGCTTGAGGAAAACATGCACTAGTTTTGGAATCAGCACCACAAATTAGTAGCAGTCTAGTATTGGATTTGATTCACGTTATTAGTCATGTTAAACACCTGAAAGCCTCAGTCACATTTAAACTGTACTTTCTTGACACTTTTTTTTAGAGCTGGAATAATACCACGCAGTGAGAAAAAAACTAAGAAAAAAAGGTGAGTCACTGTCTCTTTGGGAACGCCAGTGTTATCTGTATAACTATGTTATGATTGATGCATAGTATGCACTTTTACAAAGTGAGATTTCAGAATTTTATATCTCTATAATTACTTTGAGGGAACCAATAAACTAATGTTTTTGCTGCATGCCAGGTCTGGTGTGAATTTAATTGAATTGCTCTTGTAGGTTGCTTTTTAAAAGCGTTTTGAACAACTATAAAGTTTATAGTATATTAGTATACTTATGTCCAAAACAATAAATGAGTCAGATTCTTTGATCATACTCCATTCATCTTTTATTTATTTTTTGACAAACTTGGCAACACTGATTATTATCCACCTTTTTCCTACGCACCATGACGCTTTGCGCAAATTATGGGAGTAACTTCTGTTTACACTGTAAACAATCAGCAAAAGGTTCGCTCTATGACTGCAATAATAAGCACTTTCAAAAACTGGGTACAATGAGGTGACATTATTTTACTCACCCTGCAACCATCGTTCATTAAAAGGAAATTTAAACGTGTAAAAGCATTAATAAATCACTTTCAACATACCATGAATAACTCCTAAAGATCCTCCTATCCGCAACAATATTACGGAACAACATTTTAGTACTGTATGTCTTCATTTTGTAACAATTACATTTTACAGCATCCGTGTGAAAACAAACCTGGAAAGAGACATGAGGATTCAGGGAGAAAAATTAAAGATTCTTAGTGCATTCCAGGGAATTGTTCATGGCTTATATCGTAAATTAAATCAAGAGAGCAGACCACAAATGCACAGTATAATATACGCTTATAATATAAGCTTTTTCCATAAAATCTGTGGCTGTCTGGATGTAGCAGAAAACATCTGGCTTTTTCGTCTGTCACTGGCTGTAATTCTGGCCATGAAATCAGGATTAGGCATAAAGGAATGATTCAGATGTGTGAAGATGAGCAGAGAATTAAAGCTATAGGCCCAGATGCAGACAGCAATCATGTCAAGGACAGTACAAGACAATGCAAAAATGCTACAAAATGCATCATAGTTTGTGAGAAAGTGTGACATGCTTGAGGAAAACATGCACTAGTTTTGGAATCAGCACCACAAATTAGTAGCAGTCTAGTATTGGATTTGATTCACGTTATTAGTCATGTTAAACACCTGAAAGCCTCAGTCACATTTAAACTGTACTTTCTTGACACTTTTTTTTAGAGCTGGAATAATACCACGCAGTGAGAAAAAAACTAAGAAAAAAAGGTGAGTCACTGTCTCTTTGGGAACGCCAGTGTTATCTGTATAACTATGTTATGATTGATGCATAGTATGCACTTTTACAAAGTGAGATTTCAGAATTTTATATCTCTATAATTACTTTGAGGGAACCAATAAACTAATGTTTTTGCTGCATGCCAGGTCTGGTGTGAATTTAATTGAATTGCTCTTGTAGGTTGCTTTTTAAAAGCGTTTTGAACAACTATAAAGTTTATAGTATATTAGTATACTTATGTCCAAAACAATAAATGAGTCAGATTCTTTGATCATACTCCATTCATCTTTTATTTATTTTTTGACAATTTCAAAATGATTTCAAAGTTTAAGCCCTATGCTTCAGAAGTATAATTACAAAAATCAAAGAAATGTTTAGCAGCATAATAATTTGAACTAATGTTAGGGTTGTAAAGGGGTTGGAACATTTCCGGAAACTTTCCAAAAATCCCTGGAATATTCCAAAAAAGTCCTGGAAAGTTTCCAAAAGGTCTGGAATATTTCCGAAATTTACTGTAAATGTTCCACCTTTTTGCAGCCCTAGTTAGAGTTGGGTTTCATGTCTGATTTTTTTTTTTTTTATTATTATCAATTGTTATAATTGATTACTTATACCATAATAATCACATCATTCAATCAGTATGTTTATTAATAATTAATAGCACTTTTCCATTACACCTCTGGCCTGCAAAACAGTTATGTATCGGATATATTATAGCTCAGAAGTGAAAAATGTGAGATTTCAGTGTTTTGTTTTTGTTCACACTGCCGACTTCACAACTGATCTGTGCCACATGTGAGGAACAAACACAGATTTGGGCCGCTGTGGTGTAAAGTAGCACTTCTAGCACATGCTGTTCTCTTTTAGGTCCTCCTCCAGTTCCAGCAGCGGCAGTAGTGATTCGTCCAGCTCTTCCAATGACTCTTCCTCGGACAGCAGCGGTTCCTCGAGCTCCTCATCCTCGTCTGAAGACAGTAGCAGTGACAGCGATGACAGCTCCAGCCCTTCCTCCTCCTCCTCGTCTTCCTCCAGTTCCGACTCTGATTCCGATTCCGCAAGCAGTTCTGACGAAGGCCCTCCAAAGAAGAGAAAAAAGAAGAAATGAGGGTCCAATTAATCGGCGTCAAATACAGAACTCGTGTCATATACATTGACAGTACTAAGAACACTGCTATTGAATAAGTGAGAGTAGGGTGGGAAGTCGTGTTAAGAAATTGAGAGATATATATATGTATATTGTCATCATTTTTTGTAGAATGTGAAAATCAAACACATCCACTATTACATTTGCTACTTTGTTTTCTCTCCTTGGCAGAGTGTAGTGTCTCAAGCAAAAAAGTTCAAATACTGCAATGATTTATTCATTCATTCAGTTGCTTTCTTTTGCATCTTTTTGACCATAAATGCATTTTTTTTTTTAAAGAATGACCATTATGTAGGAATTGTGACAGACGTAGAGGCTGAGGTGTGTTAACATGGTCTTCGTTTTAAGATGGTCTCATGAAATAAACTGATTTCTTACAGAAAGAAATGCACCTGTTGCAGGATATGATGTAAATGCGAAATTAGCAATATTAAATAATCTCTTGAAAATGCAGCACGTCTCATAAAAAAGTCAGAAAATGTTTAATTTGCACGTTCCTTAATAAATCTCACAGCACTGCAGACTTAATAGTTAGACATAGCTCGATAAAAATGCATTAACAGATATTTAGTCTGCTACACGAATATAATAATTTTTATTAAAATTAGGGCTGTCAAATCCAAAATAAGTTTTTTGTTTACATGATATATGTGTGTGTGTGGTGTATATTTATATGCATGTATATATTTAAGTAATACATGTAATATATATATATATACATGTGTATTTATCTATACATATAAATATACACAGTACACATATCATGTAAACAAAGACTTATTGACAGCCCTAAAAAACATTAAGAATATACATGTTTATACCGTAGTCCAACGAATTAGTTATTAGATTATTTGGATAAATAAATCTGTGATTTATTCAATTATTTTAAAAAAAGTTCAATTTTGGAGTAGCAATGAGCAACAATTAAAAGTAAACGCCTTTAGATAAAAAAAATAGGCATTTAAGACACATAATAGAAACTGAAATCGTACAAATAATAATCTGAGGTGTCTTGAGACTGGCCGCAAATGTTGTCTAGGTAGTCTGCACAAATGTTGTCTATGTAGTCTGCACAAAGGCAGTCTGCACAAATGTTGTCTAGGTAGTC